GTTTGAAAAACAATGTAGGAAATTCAAAACTGAAGCGGAAGGGAGGAACTGCAAGCCATCATGGACCTTGCTTCTTCATCTTCTTAGCACCAAGTTGGGATACACATTTGACAAATTGATCGATCGAGCATCTGTGCAAATGATTCTGATTTTTCTACGGATAAAAGTTCAATTAAATGACAAATTACAAAGCAAAAATAATATAAACAAGGGAACGTGCCTCAAATAATTAAACAATAATAGGAGGGAAGGGGAAATGACATAATACCTTCTATTTGGAGGCTAGTTTTGGTGCATTTTTTTTTTTTTCCTTTCCGCTTGTTCCTTTTTCCACTCATCCTTGAAAGGTTGCTTTTCACTTTCACTCATTTTATTCCAAAACTTTCCGGCATCTTTACTAATTTGTGTATAATCAATTCTTCCCCAATCATTGGAAGAGTTTTCTGCTTTGCACTTATCTTGATAATATTTCCTAAAATTATAAACATAATGAATATTTACAAAATTTAATACATTTCAAATTTTCTAAACTTTATTGTTTATTTACATTCCCACTTGCTTTCCATACATCAACATATATATTACTAAGGCAAGAACATTGGTGCAATACATCACTTTAAAAAAAAAAAAATTTTAAATCAAAATTAGTAAAAAAAAAAAGTTAAAATCAGTAGCAAGGATCTTCATAACATTAGTTGATAACATCACACTCTATAAAATAAGTCCAGCACAAACAATTTTGCAAGTGCTTTTTTAAATAACTTATCTTATTTATTTTTGAAGTATTGGGATATGTCCTAAAACTTTGTAGGTTGTGCTTTATTTCAATATTTTCTTATTCTATTTCTTTGTAATCAATTTTTGTATGAATAAAATCAATAAATTCAATAAAAAACATATATCAACAACATAATTTATCATTACGAAAAGAAAAATTTAAAAATAATAACAGAATACATGAAATTTATAATAAGGGTTTTGAATATATACCTAAATTTGAAGAAGTAAGGTCGATGGCTTGCAGTTCCTCCCTTCCGCTTTAGTTTTGAACTTCCTACATTATTTTTTAAACTCTCACTCTGTCTCGATCCACAAATAACCTTTCTAAGCTTTAAATGTGCTCCACCTTCAATCTCATCGGTACTACTTGATGATTGAGACGGAGAAGTGGCAGAAGGAGAAGGAGAGTATGAAGCATCATCAGAATTACTTTCACTATCCAAAGCAATTCTTTTTCCAAAACGTTTGGGCACATCAATCTGCCTTTTTAGACCGCATTTGGCCACGTCTTTTTTTTTTTGGTTCATCTCCTTTGGCTTTCGTTGCATTTATTTTTTCTTTTTTTCAGCGCGCTTGGCCACATGCTTAATCCTTCCCATTTGATGTTCCTAGTTTATGAGTTCATAATGAGAAGTTGCACTTATAAAATAGAGATCATAATAACACTTTAAATAAATTTACAAGCTTAAAAGATCATATTATTTATATTTTATTTGAAGTTAAAAGTTAAATTTTATCATATAAAAAAAGCATCCAAAAAAACACAGTCACATGTTAATTTAAAGAGGATTTTGAAAGGGATTATGAGGTATTTGGCTGCCAACAATTTTCACTTTTGTGTAATTGCTTTTTTAATATTTGGAAAAAAAAAAAAAAAAAGAAAAAGAAAAAGATATGGTTCTTTTCATTATTTTTTTAAACATCAAGTATTTTATTTGGTACGAAAGTAATAGGAACACTATAAAAGAATTCCATGATTCACTTTTAGAGAATAACTAAATTTATTATTTGTTTGATATATGGGAATAAAAAAAAAAAAGCTATGACTATTTTCATTATTTTGCTAAACATGGTGTATTTTGTATATTTTCTAAAGTTAGCCTAGCGACATTAATCTTGGGATGGAACTCTTTAAATTAACGTATGAAAATGATTTTTATTATACTCTATTTTTTATGGTAAAATTTAACTTCAAATAATAACATAAATAATATGTTGAAATGAGTTACATTTATGTGTGACATTATTTAGTCGGTACTATGTGAATACCTTGTTTTGAGAGTGAAGATGATGGTGAGGGAGTAAACTACTTTATGGAATTTCCGTATCCAAAGGCGGTCTCAATGGCACTTAAACAAATTAGGACGTGGCCAAATATAGGGCAAGTAATCGTGCAGCGCAAATATGGGATAGTAGGACAAAGTCACTTTAGAGGATTTGCTCCCCTCTTAAACACAGAAGGATGGGGCACAAATCCTCTAAAGTGAGGTTGCCCTGCTATGCACTGAAATAGGGCGCGAATCCTCTGAAGTGGATTCCCATACGGTCCCCTGTAGTAAGCTCATAAGTGGTCTATATTTGGCCATGTCCTTCTTCATTTAACAACTCTTAAAACCGCGTTTGGCAATTACACCACCATTTATAAGTAACATTTTACTACCATTTATAAATAACATTATAGCAGTTTAAAAAGTAACATCACCATTTGTAAAAGGGTAACATCACTACTTAAAAAGTAAAGGTTGTTGATAGCCAAATACCTCATAATCCCCTTCAAAATCCTCTTTAAATTGACATGTGACTATTTTTTTTGGATGTTTTATTTTTTATGATAAAATTTAACTTAAAAAACATATAAATAATATGTTGAATTGAGTTAAATTTGTGTGTGACTATTAGTTTTTCACCTCTATGTATATACCTTTTTTTTATGGTGAAGGTGGTGAGTGTGACAATTAATATTAAACTTTACAAAAAAATTTCTTTTGATGGTGAAGCTGGTGAGTGTGACAATTAATATTAAACTTTGCCAAATTTTTTTCAAAGATATGTAAAATAATTTATACCTAAGTGTATGTTCCTTTTTTTTTTTTTTTTTTTTTTTTTTTTTTTAATATTTGGAACAAAAAAAAAAAAATATGACTCTTTTCATTATTTTTGGAAACATAAAGTGTTTTATTTGTTGTCTAAAGTTAATCCAAGTGACTTTAATTTTGGTTTAAATTCTTTAAATTAACATGTTAAAGTGTTTTTAAATTACTTTAATTTCAAATAATAACATATATGATATGTTGAAATGAGTTACGTTTATATGTGACATTAGTCTACATTATGTGCATATCTTATTTTGAGGGTGAAGATAGTTTTCACTTTTTTGTAATTGTTGCATCCAAACGGTGTCTCAGTGTCTGTTAAATGAACAACAACGTGGCAAAAAAATGACCACTTAAAACTCACTACAGGGGACCGCATAGGAATCTCACTTCAGAGGATTCACGCTCCCTAAAATAAGCTTTAAGTGGTCATCATTTGGCCACGTCCTTCTACATTTAACAGCCCTTGAGACTGCGTTTTGATATGGCAATTACACAAAAAAGTGAAATATACAGGTCTTTTAGTAAGCTCTTTTCGATCACAAATTCTAAGTAACATCATAGGAGTCTAAAAGTAACATCACTATTTATAAGAGAGTAACATCACCACCTAAAAAGTGAAGGTTGTTGACAGCCAAATACTTCATAATCCCATTCAAAATCCTCTTTAAATTAACATGTGCTATTTTTTTAAATGCTATATATTTTTAAAAAAAAATTTAACCTAAAAAAAACATAAATAATGTGTTCATGACTCCATATAAGTGGACGTATTAGAGCTTGCATTATTCATACTTAATAGTATACAAAATAAACAATATCATATATTATCACGTGAAAAGAGTAAAGTGATTCCAAATTTTAATAAGCATTACCTATCAAGACTCAACAAATAAAAAAACACAAACACTGCATGTACAAAAAGTAGATTTGGACATGTACATAAATGGTGCCATGTTAGCTCGATTTTTAATGTAATCATCGATCACCCAAAATATTGAAAAAAAAAAAAAACACAAAAAACAAAAAAGGACCATAATGGCCGTTGTAGTTGTAGTTAGAAACCAAAATACATTGATGGTCATAGTCACAGAGCAATTATAGATGCATATAGCGTAGCATACACATATATAAGGAGTATATATACATACGAACACACCTTTGTATGCTTATGATATCCATCAAAATTTTGATTTAGCTTAAATTTGATTAAATGAAATTAAACATAGACAATGATAGAAGGGACTCACCAGTAATCTTGTTGCAAGATTGGACATTTTTCCTTAAAATCTTGCTTTATGGTTTTGTTGCTCTCTGTTCAAAACCCTTACTTGAATTTAGGGTCTGTGGGTTGGTGAAGTTGATATAACAAACAAAGATTTGAACAACACTTGTTGCGAAATTGGACTTTCTTCTTCCCTAAAGTTTCCAATTTCAAGGTTCTGTCGCTCCTTGAGTTAAGGGTTCTTTGGACGGCACAAGAAGGCTTTTTGTTTTGTTTGATGAGTTTCGCTTTTTGTTTTGTTTAGGATTGTGTCGATGACTCAACCATTTTTATTTCTTATTTATTTATTTATTTTTTCAATAAAAAGTTTACTCTATTAAAGATAACGAAAAAAAGGCCATTTATATTGTTATAATAGACCCGACCTCATATATTATAACTATTCTCTTTGTCTCAATTTAGATGTCGCTTTTAGGGGGTAGGAATTTTTAAGGGCACATGTGGGACATGCCTTGTCTCCTTAAAAAGTTTCTAATTTATCGTTATATTCAAGTTTGAAATTTTAAACTATAAGGACATATATGAAAAGATGTAAAATATATTATTTGAAAAAGGAAAGTGAACAATTATTTTAAGACAGATAGAAAAAGAAAGCATGATATCTTTTTTGAGATAGAGGAAATAAAAAAGACTTAGCCAAACCAACCAACACCTCAAGGAAGCGGACTGCAGAGGACGCAGGCAAAAATACAGCAGATTTGCGCCCAGGAATATGAGCAAAGATCCAATTTGAAAAGGGCCATACGTTTGGAATATGAGCAAAAAGGACATGTGGGCATGGGTATGACACATGGATTTATCCAAAATACACAGAAATCCCAACTCCTTCTGTTAACCAAATCCACAACTTTCCATTTCAAATTGTGACTCACAAACCAACCCAACTGTTCTATCTCTCACCAATTCCTCTTCTTCTTCCCCCAATGCCTATTCTCAGAGCAGCCATAGGATCCGTCTCAGGCCATGCCTTTCTCTTCACCTCTGGCGATAATCATTCTCAATCCCATCATTCTTCAGTCTCAGCTCTCACAAACCCTCCTTTCAATTTTCCCAACTCTTTTCGCAGTTCTTCCATCAAAAGACCCTCATTTCCCACTGCCAAAGTCTCTCTCTCCGGCGAGAGCGCCAAAACCGAAGGCATGGTCGAGCAATCTGCGGCCTCTTCCACTGCCACCCAAGTTGTCGAAGACGATGCCATCAAAGAAGCTCGGGTGTGTATTTTTCTTGTACTGCTACTACTTTTGCTCACCATGTGTGGTTTTCGCATGAAAATTGAGAAAAGTAGGAGAACAGATATTTGCAATTCTGTTTCTTAGCTAATTTGAATGAAATTTTGGAATCCCAATTGATGAACCAAATATTTATGCATCTTTTTTGGAGCACCCTTGTAATTAAAATCGGAGAAAATCTAGTTCAAAGTGCGGATTCAGTGCTCCCAAATGCATACTAATTTTCAAGAATTTAGTTCCTTTAACGACCTAGAAAATTACAAGAGTGGGGGCAATAGTGAATTTTTTAATCATTTCAGTGGGGGCAATGGTGAAATTTTGTAGGTATATAATTGAAAAAGAAAAATTTAGCAGGGTATAATACTAAAAAAAAATAAAATTCAGTGGGGGTCTGTGCGTGGACTTACTTTCCTTACATGTTCTTCTGAAAAACAAAAAATTAGAAAAATGAGAAGTTAGGTATGGTGCCAAAGAAAATTTGGCAGTAGGCAGATTATCAGATTTTAAGGAGTTAGGCATGGTGCATTACTGATTACATGGAGTTTTGGGAGCCATAGTAATTATTACAAGGACCCTAAGTCATGGGTATCATGTAAATACCACTGCCCTTCTGAAACCTTAATTCTCTGTTTGGGGGATTGGTCCGTGTTTGCCTTAACTCCATCTACTGCTGAGACCGATTTGGTAATGGTAGAAGTTCTGCATAGGACTGAAATTTGGTTCTTATTGAGCTTGTACTGGCTAATTCTATCTAGATGCTCTTTTTACCATGTGTTGGTTCTTAGTTTTTGTCAAAATGTGATATACATAGATTACTAGAGCCCATTTTTATGAGACTCTCTTAAGGTTGCAATTAATGAAAGAGTGTTATGTTGACACTAGTGATAGCCGTTACGCCCTTTTGAGTTGCCCACTATAATTTCTCCTGCTTCTTCAAATGGCACTGAATTTTTTATTTTTTATTTTCTCTTTTCATCAGAATTAATAGGTAACAACAAGCAACACATAGTTCCAAGGAGTCACATTTCAATAAAGGGGTTGATTTTTATTTTATTTATTTATTTATTATTATTATTATTTACATTGACAAGAAACACACTTACACACACTTTTTTGCCCACATCCAGTCTCGAACCCCTCTTAATCTCTTTGAGGATGGGGAGGTTATACCATTGGGCTAGATGTCCTTTGGTAAAAGGGTTGAAATTTCAAGAGTGATAAAAGGGAAAATTTATATATATAACATGTATCTCCAGTAAATGAAAAGTTATTACTGCAAAATATATATATATATTATTACAATTATTTAGCTATAATTTCAATTTTGATTACATAATACTAGTTCCCCCCAAAAGTCTTGTAGGGAAGGGATGCAGAAAAAGTAGTGCAACAAAGAGAGGCTATTTGGGGTTGTGGTGATCCGCCGCTCGACCTTAGACCAAACTGGTAGCTGACTTTATCCCCTTCTTTGCTACATTGACTGTCCATAGCTCATACAACATTGCAGGGAGGAAGGGGTTAGAGAATATGCAACATATTGATGCAGTCACCCAACATCATAGATCAATTTAGATCTGTAATTATATATATATATATAAGTAAGGCTCACACCCACACCCACTTTATGTCCCGATCGGATTTGAACCATCAACCTCCTCTTTGGGAAGTGGAGGAGATACCATCCAAGCTAAAGGTTGGTTCTAATAAGTTAATATTGCAATAATGCAATTTCACTTACTGGTACAATTATTTCTCAAGGAAGGGCAGCCTAAATAGCTTGTTACACGTCACTACAAATTTTTACTTTTATATATATATATATATATATATTTCTGATTTCATTATGTTTTTTCTTGAATCACGAGTATAATGCTTTAAACAGTTGCATCATCTGATATTTTGTTTCTGCAAAGAGGTAGAGATCTGCTGATTGGAAGGCAGCAAGGGCTTATAAGGAAAGGGGATTCATCTATGAAGGCAGGATTGAAGGTTTTAATGGTGGAGGTTTGCTGGTTCGGTTTTATTCTCTTATGGGTTTCCTTCCCTTCCCGCAGTTGAGCCCAACTCATTCATGTAAAGGTACTAATTAACTTCTTTCTAGCTTATATCATTAATTTAATTTTTGCCAAAGTTTCTTTTTCTCTGTTAATAAGCTACCTTGGTGTGGACGGGTTATCAAACACTGATCCATGTTTTCAATTTAAAGAGGGGAAAACAAAAAATATGTGAAACATGTCTGAAAAATCTATATATTTAAAATTTTGCTCTTTTCCACTTTCCTAATATTTGTAATGCGTAGCTTTACTGAGATTGTCATACAAAGTGATGTGAATATAATTGCAGCCTTTGTACTGTATTCACCGGGTAATTGTAATCCTTTTCTTCGGATCATTTGTTAGTTGAATCTTTTAGGTGAACAAACAGAAACTTAAAGTGCTGATTTTCTCTAAACTACATATGTATACTCACTTAACTCAACAAAGTTGTTCCCCAATTACTAGGGGTCAGCTCTATATTATTCTTTACTAACTCTACTCACTTAATTCTAGTCATCCCCATCCCCTAACATTTCTCTCAATGTGGACCAAGTCACTCTTTCTAATTGGTGCACTTAGTGGTCTTCCTTGCCCATGTCAAGACCATCTTAATTGATTTTCTCTCATTTTATTTTCAATCGGTGCTACTTCAATCATAATATGGATGTGCATTTCTAATTTTATCCTTTCTTGTCTTACCACACATCCATCTCTACATTCATGTTTCCGCCACACATAATTTTTGCATATGTTACTTATTAGCTGCCCAACATTTTGTCCATGAGAACATCTGGTCTAATAGTTGTTTTATATAACTCCGTCAATCTAAGCAGAATATGCGGGTCACATAAAATACGAGATGCTCTCCTCCACTTAACCCATCTTACCTTGCTTCTATGATTAATGTGATCTCCAATTTCTCTTTTGTTATGAATAATTGAGCCTAAATAACAAAAAAGTCCACTTTATTATACCTCATGACCCTCTAGTTCTAGAGTGATATAGCACTTACTCCTTCTCTGGTTTCATTAATTGAATCAATATCATCAGTAAATAACATACAAAGTGTCTGATTATCTATTTTATTTGATTAGGCAAAAATCAAGGGGTAGCAAAGGATAAATTATATTTTATTCATTTATCTTTACGTTTGGTTTATGATAAACTTTGATATAATGCATTGGGTATAGTTTTATGTCTGTTTTATAGTTTATATTAACGATTAAAGTTCTAGAAATTGCCATAGGGGGAGAAGATTGTAAGGTTAATAGGACTTGCATCAGCAATTTCATTGATCAAAACTAGAGTTTGTACTTTTGTTTTGATTTCTATAGTAGTTAGAAATTTCAAAAGTAAGTTAGTGTCATGGTTGAAGATGGAATTCAAGTTTCCTTTTCAAAATAAAATATCAAAATCCTACTTTCTCTGCACTACTACTTTGCTCATAAATACACCGTCCAAGGTCAAAACCCACAAGCATTAAGAATATAAAAAGAGAATTTTCGTGAGAGCATATTTCCCTTTAGCATTCATCATCTGCATTAGTTGGTGAGTGTTATCCAAGTGTGTTGACAACAATCGCTACGAACCTGTTACAAGCTAGTTCAACACCAACGAAACCAATCATTCATTCAGAGATTGGGTTAGATGTCTAGTTGGCTGACTGAATTACAGGTTGGAGAAGCAGATTCGTGGGTAGAGAAATGAGCGGATCATGTGCCTGAAGATCTGAATGAGAAGTTTGGTGGATTGATCTGTTCCAAGAGATAACTAGGGGTTCTAGGGTTTGAGAAGTTTAACCTTTTGTAAATCTCTTTCTCATAGTGGATTCGATTTGCTTGGACTAGGCCCCATGGTTTTTCCCGCTTGGGTTTTCCACGTAAAAAATTTTGTCCATTGTTCTTGCTTTTACTGCTTTATTTGATTATTGCATGGAAGATTGGAATGATGGATTGAATAGATTCTAATATTTAGTTTAAAAAAAAAAAAGAAAAAAAAAAAGTAATATTTCATTAAAGGCACTGAAGAGGGGAGAGCTCCCGAAGAGAGTACACAAAAAGCCAAAAACGGCCAACTATAATTTCAAGCTATCAACAAAATCCATAAGGTGCGCCAGAGGTTTACAATTCTGCCCATTTACTCCCCTCCCCACGACAACAACCAAAAAAAAAAAAATTAAAAAAAAAAGGGAAACGCAATATATTGTATTTTAGATACCAAATGGGAGTCTCTTTCCATCAAAGAATCTCATATTCCTCTCGCACCACAAGCCCCACCATAAAGAAAGGGGAGTAGACCTCCAAGTCCAAGCCTCGATCATATCCATCATGAATTCAGGCCAAACCCAAAACATACCAAATGTGCCCAAGCATGGATTAAACATTCCTCGCCACTGGACAATGAAGGAGGAGGTGATCCACTGTTTCTTCCGCTTTCTTGCACATGCAGCACCACTGCACCACAATCTGTCTCCTCCTTATAAGATTGCCTAAAGTGAGGATCCATCCTAGCTCAGCCAACCAAGCAAAAAATGCCACCTTTAGGGGGGCTTTCGACTTCCATATGGACTTCCAAGGGAATGTGGGACCCGGGATCTCCAAGAGGCTCTCACCTTTCTCAGAAAGTCATCCAAACCAACTCATCCATCCCCTCCCCCTCCACCACCTGAATGTATGGCAATGCTAAAAACTCTGCTACCTCCGCAAGGTCCCAATCATGGAACTCCCTCCGAAACTGCACATCCCAAGTCACCCTTCAGCTATCAAGACAATAACAGTCAATGACCGAATCATGTCTGTTCGAAGCTATCCTGAAGAGCCAAGGGAACCTGCTAGCCATATCAATGCCCCCGCACCAAAGGTCCTCCCAAAATCTGACGTGTCTCCCACTCTAGACTTTGAACCAAATGCATTTGGAGAGCTCATCCCAACCCTTCCGGATAAGCTTCCAAACCCCCACACCCAAGGGAGAACGCACCTCCCTAGACAACCACCCTCCAACACACTCCCCACTCCGGCATGCAATGACCTTCTGCCACAATCTGGATCTCTCTCCCCCAAATCTCTAAAGCCATTTGCCCAACAAAGCTGTATTGAACAACTCCAACCTCCAAATCCCCAAACCCCCCTTCTGAATGGGGGTACACACCTTCTCCCAATTCACCAAGTGGTCACTCCACAAAAACTCCCTCTGGATCTTCTCTAGTCTCTGGAGAACTGATGTAGGCATCGAAAATAAGTGACATGAAGTATATTGGAAGATTCGAAAGGGTACACTTCATAAGAGTTAGACGCCCCCTTCCGAAATATATTACTTCTTCCAACTGGCAAGCCTCCTCTCAAAGCGCTCTACCACTAGGTCCCAAATGGAAGCCTTTTCGATCAAGCTCTCAAAGTCAGTCCCAAGTACGAGGTTGAGAAAGAGCCAATCCCGAATCCACGAATATCAGCAAGGCCATGAATGTCCTCAACCACCCCAACTTGAACCAACTCACTTTTCCCAATGTTGATTTTCAAGCCCGACTCTGCTTGGAAGCATATCAAAACACATATCAAGAATCTCAGCTACAATGGTGTCATCCATAAAAAAACAAATGAGAACCACTAACTAATTGGGGTCTCTACCCACCGAAATGCCTCTAATAAGGCCCAAATCTTCTGCCCTCCTCATCAATCTACTGAAAGCCTCCGTGACAATGATGAACAGAAAAGGAGAGAGTGGATCTCCCTGCTGCAAGCCTCGGGAACTAGAGAAGAACCCGGTTGGGGAGCCATTCACCATAACAGAGAAATGAACCATTGAGATGCAATGGTGAATCCATCTCCTCCATCCGTGCCAAAAGCCCATCCTCCAATAGACATCAAGAAGTCCCAACTCACATTAACATAATCACAGACCTTCCAGTCTTGTTTAGTTATTTATTATAAAAAAAAATATTTTACTATTTATCTTGGATTCAAAAAGAAATTTAAAACCCTAATCCGACTAAACAAGACCTAGTCTCCCCCTCTAGATCTAGATTACAGACCTTGCACACCTCTACATCGGAGCCTAGGATTTCGGTCAATGCAGCTATCAATTTGAATTCATGTGATAAGCTTTATATTTCTAGAAATTGGACTTGATAAGCTTTCCAACTTACAGTGCCATCAGTTGAACTACCAGCTGAACATTGCTGAAGTTGCTTCGATTGATCTTAACTTGCTTTGTATCGATCCAAAGGACGTCTAGAGTTGGTAAAACACGTGTTTCCAAATCTAAAAATGTTTCTAAACTTTAAAAAAACTCACTCAGAACGTTCTTAATTGATTTATAATCACTTCAACACAATAGAAAGTGTTCTAGGTGTTAGGATATTGAGTTACGTGTAAGCATATTTCTCTTCAAAAAAGAGTTATACTATATCAAATAGGGTGCAACTCAGGTGGGTTAAAGGCAACTTGCTCAACCCAACATATGAAATGCTCAACCCTAACCCGAGCTAAACAACTCCAGTCCAACCCATCCTTAAATTTTTTAGTTCAGGTTGTATTCGGACTTGCAACTCAAACTGAGATTTCGGGTTAGAAGTTGTATAAACATCTTGTACCAGACTAACGTTTTAAAATATGTAAATTACTCATTCTTTTATGTGCTTGGAATGCACATAATCTACCACTTGCATAATTAATGTAAAGACTAAAAGGTGAACAACCTTAAACATTTTCACAATTGAAATAATTGAAGAGATATATATATATATATATGTATATATATAAAATAATATATATATATCTTTAATAATAATAAAAATTAGAATTCAGTTTTGGGTTGGGCTTGGATTGCTGGCACCTCAACCCAAGCCCAACTGAGTTCGGGTTGAGATTTTCCAACCCAAACCGAACTTGAATTATAAAACTGGCTGTCCAAACCTATGAAAAATCGGGTGGGGGCGGATTGGGTTCGGGTTGGTCCACCCAAGCTGCACCTCTCGTGTCAAAGTGCCTTTAGTCGATTGTGGACATCTATTGAAGATATGACAGACAAAATTTTAAAGATGAAGTCATACTCAATCAAACATGTAGGTTGCAGGTAATTTGACTTTTGTATGACGTTTGTTTAACCTATTTTGATTTTGGTTGAGCTTATACTAGTAAAATATTTTGTAAAAAGTTTTTGAACATTGGCTTTTCAAAACTTAAAGTTGAAATGTTTTTCAAATTTGAATAGGAGCTGGAAAACAGTGCATGTTGATTGCTTGGCCAATTGATTGAACCATTTCCAGAATGCGTTGATCACTTGATCGATCGATCCAATTGTTTGTAGAAAATTAGAATCCAAATCTAATACATGTCAATTGATGTGTTGATCAATTGAATAGGCTCAGGAAGGCTCAGATAGGCTTCAATCAAAAGCTCAACCGATCAAACTTAGCTTTTTTGGAAACTCTCTTAAAATACAGGTTTAGTAGGTTTCAACTACCTAAAACGTATTAGACTCCTATATTGGCTATAAATATGGGGTTTTGGCCAGCCTAGGGTAAGAAGACATGAGTGCATAGAGAGAAAGTTCAAGAACGAGAGAGATTCCTCGCATATTCAATTAGGGTTCACAAAGTGTTAGGAAACTAATACCAATTAGACGGTCTTATTTTCTAATTAGTATTTAATTATTTTAGATATTATGTTATTTCCTTATTTATTCTTCTTTTCTAATTAGTATTTAATTATTTTAGGTACTATGTTATTTCCTTATTTATTTTCTTAATTCATCTCTATAAGAATGCTATTGTAATAGAATTAGAGTATTGAATTGAATAAAAATTAAGAACTTTGGTGGCTAATCCCCAATTCAAAGGATTATTGGTGGCTGATCTCCGATCAACTAATCCCTTTAGGGTCTAGAACCCTAACATTTGGTATCAGAGCTTTCGATTTGAGACCCCTCAACTTTTTTTTCTCTCTTTTTCTCTATTATCTTTACTTCTATTAGTGTTCACAATAAGACTGTCTTTCCTAACACAAAGACCTTCCATGTGTGATTGAATATTCTGGAAGGAGTTGATCATTCAAACATTTCTTATTCAGTAGGACAAACAAGAGCAGACATGGGCGAGAAATCACTAGAGAAGCAGCAGATTTGTGAGGAGTGGATGTTGTAGACAACCGGAACAGTGTGGTGACTTTCAAATGTTCTCTAGCTGTCAACCACGTCCTCCTCCCAAACTATACTAATGTTCAAACTCCACTTTAGAATCAAATCGCCACCATCGTCATCTTCGTCACCATCATTGTTTGTTTCATCACCCAGCCCGTGCCACTCAACGTACTAGGTTGTCTGGTTTGGGCACCTGAGTGCTTATCAGAACCCTAACCTTCAACTCACTCATGATTTCATACGAGGTTTGCAGATAGATATATATGCCTATATGTATATGTACAAATCTGAGAATTCATACATCTCTATTTGTAGAATCCACACATCCATATATCTATATTTATATATTCACATAGCCATGGAGAAACGCAAGAGAGGGGAAGAGGGAAGAGAGAGAAACCGAATGGGATGTTTTTTATAAATGTTGAACGAAAAAGTTATTTCCCATCACAGATTCCTTCATTATACAAGTATTAAAGTATAAGGGGCACAACTGACTTTTCACACTCACATTTGATATGAGTCAATCAACTAACCTCTCAGGGGAGGTAAATGTAACAAGCCTTGAACGCTACATTTGTGTGTAATTTGACAAAACCTCAGTGGTGGTTTTTGCTTTCTTATTTTTATTTTATGTTTACCGGTGTCTCTGTGTGGATGATTTTTACATTCTGATTGATTGATAGTTGAATTCCAGTTAATTTTGATAGTTGAAATTTAATAAAACTTGTTATTTAATTTTCAAGACCTATTCACCATCTCGAGGCCTAAATGGACAGCATAATTTGATGTATGGAAGTCTTGGATAATGGTCCTTTCCCTCAGTAATTATTAATTTATTACTTATTAGTTGTTGTTACTTTGTTTATTATTTGTATTAAACTATCATTACAATTTTTACTAATTCAGAAGCTTCTAGTAACTAGAAGTTCAGTATATAGACTGTAGTTTATTCTATTAATAAATGAGTATTTACTAAGTACTAACTGCAATTAGTAACTTAATAATATTCATTTAGTTAATTGCTATTCTGATAAACTAAATGACTCCTTCGCACCCACTAACTTCTAATAACTAGGGAAAACAAAAGAAAAGAAAAGAAAAAAGATAAACTAAATGACTGATACATTATACAATTAAATGTTTTCGGTTACTGTATTAATAAATTAATAATTGTACAATGAAATATATATATATATATATATATATATATATATATATATATATATATATAAACCAAATTGAAGTTAAAATCAGAAAATAATTGAAAAAAAGGTAAAATTACATATTGTTCAAAGTAAGAGAAGCATTTTGTTCTAAATAGAGGCTCGCATCTTTTTTATAAGCTTTGAAAGCTGGATCCTGTGAGTATAAAGTATAAACTGGAAAGATGGAGTGTTTTCCAACTGTTAGAGGAATAAAAATGAGAACAGTTGAAAAATATGGGTTTCAAAAATCATGCCCTGACAAGGCTGTGATGGCACTGTATCTCACCAAACAACAGGCTGTAATGGGAATGAAACTGACTGTTCCCATTATGTAATGGCCGTTATTCAAAATGCTATGATGATCCTTCTTTACATATTCTAAATAACACTTGCATCTCTCTCTCCTTCATAAAGCTTCTTTATTAATTTTCCGGCGCCTAAATCTTGAAACGGGAAAATAGGTTACTGATTTGCCTTAATTACAGCTCTTAATTTTAATTCTGTCAGATCATTATAAACTTTTCTGCTCATTTACTGTCAATTTGTTTATATTGGTGTCCATAACATTAGTATTTTTTATATTGGTGTCCATACCATTAGTATTTAGTTATATTACCTTTCAAGTTTCCATTGCAAATTTACAGTACTCCTAATGCAGTGGTGTATGCTTGTCATTGCTAACGATTTGTCATTTTTATATGATGCCATTTCATGTAGAGCCACAAAAAACCATCCAAGAGATAGCAAAAGCTCTTATTGGTACCATTATATCTGTAAAGGTACTAAATTTCTTTGTTTACATATGTTACTTAAAAGTTTCTATCATCCAATTTAGTCTTCATTTATGTTGATTATCTGAGTTTCAATTTCCATGAATATATATGTATCATGTCTCCCCGTTTAGCGCTTTTAACTGTTTAAACTTCCAGCAAGCGATGCTGGGTGAGTAATCATTATTGTCACAGAAATGGATGCATAAAGGGTGAAACCTCTCTTTTTTGGCATTCATCTGCACAAGGCTCCTGACATAATAGTTATGAATTTTGTACACCACATCTGGAAAAGTTTAATTGATTTTTTTACAAGCAGATAAATACAAGGGTATAAATGGGAAAAAAGTATGCTGAGATCTAAGGGAATGAGTTTGATGAAAACATGACTTCAGTAAGTTTGATGTGTTTCCTTTATGATGGCATAATTATGGTTCATAATGTTCATTGAAAGGATGAAAATGTAGAGAAGGATAAGCCTCTTAACATCTGGACCATCAAATTGGAAATTTCTTTGGCATGCTTTTTGCACCTGCTATCTAAAGATGGAGTCCAGAGGAAACAAGTTTTTCGAATTTTATGTTTCAGTTGCTTCTTTGAGAATCTTAAGGTTATTTAAACTGTGAGGTCTGGTATTATACATGCCAATCAGGAGGTCAGTACATTGCCTATGAAATTTGAATATTTTATTTCTGGTTGGACATGATTGGAACATGACGTGGACATTACAAGGACACCGTGGTGTGGTTGTATTTATTTATTTCTTTAGAAGAATGGGATTCAATGCAATTTAAAATATATTATGTGTTAATTAGAAAAATAAAAAATAAAATTTAAGAAAACAAAAATAACAAACAGCTAGCTCTAAGCTCAAAATTAGTGATTTCATTCATGATTATATGGATAAAATGATTTATCAAAAAAGATTATATGGATAAAATGACAAATTTTATTTGTCATTTGTGATTATATGGATAAAATGACCAAAAATTATTGTTTCTATATGTATTATGATGTAGTATATTATTATTTTTTGACGTATCCATGTCCTGTTTCTTAGAGATTTACGTATCGCCATATCCTTATCATGTCGTACCTGTGTCCCATGTTCGTATCCGTGCTACCTAGATAGTTATAAAGACAAGTTCCTTTGATAATTACAAGTACATCTATACACATTCTTTTGTTAACTATGTGGACATGTCAGGTCTCTTTGATATGATTTTATTCACATTTGCATAAAAATAAATCACTTCTATTTTTTTCCTTCCTAGACAATCATCAGCGTAGTAGTAGTGGTAGTTGTTATTATTTTGTTGAACACCTCAGAATCATAGACTCTGAGGAAAACTTCTTTATTTTCTTTTATTCTTAGGTAATCCACGCAAATGAGGAGAAAAGGAAATTGATATTCTCTGAAAAGGAAGCCCTTTGGTCCAAGTTTTCTCAACAAGTTAATGTTGGGGATATTTTTGAAGCAAGGGTGGGTTCTGTTGAGGATTATGGTGCCTTTGTTCATTTACGTTTTTCAGATGGTACTTTCTATCTTTGAGTGTTGTTGCTACTCTGGATGCACTTTTTGCATCATGCAAAAATTATTAGTGGCATGTTGATGCAGGTTGTTATCATCTCACTGGACTTGTACATGTCTCTGAGGTATCCTGGGATTTAGTACAAGACGTAAGAGACATCCTAAACAAGGGTGATGAAGTGAAGGTCAAAATTACTAAGATAGATAGGTGATTTTGCTACTCTCCTGCTTCATATAGTTTCTGTTAATCTTTATTCTGCTCCACACAGTAAAGCCCATCAGGACCATTACTTAAATTCAATCATGCAAAATTCTATTACTGCCTGATTATGTTATTATTTTGAACACAAGCTCATTGCAATTTAAACTAAATAGGCCTCCAGACAAAACTGGAGTACTGATATTCATTGTCTATAGATATATTTATTTAGTCAATGCAGAGTCCTAATTATGGTGCATAAATCTTGTATCTATAATCGCTGAGCCTGTAAAACTGGAGGAAGGTCACCATTTTATCCACCCTTGTGCATTATTAATCTTTAGCATTGTCGATGTGGTACTATGTAGTTTTTGTTTATGTACGAATCTCTCTCTCTCTCAACTTTATTTTCCTATCTTTGTTTGGAAAGCCTCTCATTCTTGTGACTTCATATTTAGTTGGTTTTATTCTTCTCTCTTCTTATTTTATTTGTTTATTTATTGTCTTTGTATTTTTAAGAGCTTCTCTTGGAGACCACCAAATAACTACAAGTAAAAGGTTACAAAAGTGCTAAATTACTTTATAAATATGGGAGATTCCCTCTTGTTTGCAAAATTACAGACCCCCCTACTGTGAAGACAACAGATTTTACTGATGTCGCCAAAAATAATTTCATGTTTTACCCTTATTAGTGGCAAGCAACTTAATGGATGAAAGATGATGACAATTATTACATCATGGTTGCTTTTCCACCCTTCACCAACCAACCAACTCCACAACCACCATCCCCCATAAACACTACCATGACACTGTCCTTGCTTTCTTCTTCTTCGTCCTCGCTTTCTTCCTCTTCCTTTTCTCCTAGGAAGCACGGACGCGCCAAAATGGGCGAAGAATCAGTGTTCGACACACCAAAAAATGTGTTTGGAATCTTTTTATTTTTTATTTTATTTTCAGACACGGCACGGACATGGCTGGACACGGCTCGGACACGGCACGGACACTCCGCGGACACACGTGTCTGGAATTTTTTTTTTTTTTAATGCTGATATGTTCTGTTTTTTGTTTTGTACTACCCCTTTGGTATTGTAAATGGTAAAAGTCCTAGGTCAAATGATGGATGGGAATAGATGATAGTATACCGACTTGTTTATGTATCTTTTTTGGGGACTAGCCTTTAGGTTTTTGTGAATGTTAAGTGCTACAGTAAAGTCCTGAATGTTAAACAGCCATGAATGTTAATAGTCCTTTCTGTCTATGCTTTTGTATTTGGAGTAAAGTTGCAATGATGATTAAATGATACTAGTTATTATTCTAATGTTTTGTTTTTTTATTTGGTTTTATACCTATGCAACATTGTTCTTTTATAGTTTATTAGTTATGAGTTATGATTTGTGTTTTTTTTTCATTGTGAGGTTGATGAAAAATAGTAACACTCAATAATTTTTAAAGTACTACATCACACATATTATATATATATATATATATATATATATATATATATATATGTATAGACTATTCGCTGTGTCCCCGCCGTGTCCGTGTCCTAATTTTTTTGGATTTGCCGTGTCGCCGTGTCTTTATCGTGTCGTATCCGTGTCCGTGCTTCTTAACTTTTCTCTCTTTAATTCTGACTCTTACTTAACAACACAATCCATCATGACTGCACCAGCATAGCCATCACCTACAAAAATATCACAACTCCACAACCATAATGACTATCAATCACTGCTAGATTTTTGGAAATTGTCTATAGGCTACAGCCATCACTTCCTCTGCTCTTTTGGAAATAATACACATTCTATCACCCCTTTGTTGAAATCGTATATTACACTATTATATAGCATATGAAATATTAAATACTGGATATGTCTGTGCAACCAAATGCAACTTGTGGACCAAGCTCCCTTATCATAACGTTTAGTGATTCATGAAATTTCAACTGTTAGAAATACATTAGCACACAGTACACGTGTCGAAGTCCATGTAACAAGCTCACATCTTTTTCTTCCTCATTTTACTTTCCTTCTTCTGATGAATCAAGAAGCCTCTTGAGAACATCGTCAACCTCTTCTATGGTTCCACCCTCCCATCCAACAATTATGATTCGTTTGTTCAGCTGTTGTAGAATATGGTTGTGGTGGAATTTGTTTCCCCTGGTAAGCTCAGTCAACATTAACCCCTTCCAACATGTGATGGTGATATCTCATTCTGCACTAATTCTAGATGGATAGAGTTCGTGGAGGTTAACTTTTTGCATGGTGCTCAAGCAAGTTGCTGATGAGGGGGATTGAGCTCCCCATTATGTTTGGATATATCGAGTACTGGTCCTATGTTGAGCAGAACTTGTTAGGAAATATCTCCAAACTCCAGATGACAACAAACTACTGATTCTTTAAGAGGTTAAAAAAATCTAGGATTGGTCTTCTACTCACCGAATCCCATGTTGGTTCTATTTTTTTGATTTATTTTATTTTACTTTTCTAATTTGTGGAATTAAAAAGGGTAATTTTGGGTTGGGAGCGGGGTGGTGGAACTGACGGGTGAATATTATTGGGAGAGATTTATTATACATTTTTTACTAAAATTATTTTTGTTTCCATCATGATAGGGGATTTGCACTCTTGCTTTAACTAAAAACCATGTTATGACTTATGAGCTATGTTATATGTCAATGGACCAGGATACAGTTGTTTGGGATTGATGTGTCTAAGCATTAGAAATATCAAATGTCAAACCCAAGGACAGGGGACATGTCTAAAATATTCATGTTTTTAATATTCTTCATTTCTTCTTTATATATTAATGGGAAAAGATGTTTTTGTATAACATCGAGTGCTTAACATTGGCACTTAATCATTTTGAAGTAATAATGAAAACTGAAATATAGTTAAGAGTTTTTTTTTGTACATTTATATTATAAACTTAACTTATGTGATATGTTTGCTAAGGTGTATGTGGTGTATATCTTATACCAATACTTAAGTGTCTTGTGTCCGACACAGGTATTTTTAACATTTAAAAGTGTTCATGTGACATGTTATAACTTATAAGCCATCATGTGTTGGAGGAAGTCTGAATGGCTGTATTGGTGAAATTTTGATATCATTTTGCATTTTCCCTGTTGATTAATGCATGTTCTTTACATGATGAATACAAATATCTTTCTCAGTACTCAATGATTTAAGCCTTAACTAAATTTATTGCAGGGAGAAGTCGAGGATTACATTGTCCATCAAACAACTGGAGGAAGATCCACTCTTAGAAACTTTAGACAAAGTCATTCCTCAGGTGGGAAAGGGTGTTTAATAGTATTATCTATACTTTGCTTGTTTAAATCAGACATTTCTTCTATATTTGTCACGTTTCAATTATTTATTATTATTGCACTTCACAGGATGGTTCAGTTGCTTCTGATTCTTTGAGCACAAGCAATAGTTATGATATTGAACCTCTTCCAGGGCTTGGAACAATACTTGAAGAGCTACAACAGGAAGATGGGTATGGTCTGCATATACTTGACTTGTGTGAATTTCTTTAAGCTTTTAGTCAGAGAAAGATAAGACTATTTGTACATTGATTTTTTATTTTTTAGTTTTTGTTTTCAATTCTTTGTTTTCTACAATAGCTTTCCATAATATGTTCACCTTCATATTTTGTGCTTTGATTTCCTATTCCTCTAAACTTCGTTGTTTTTGTTGCATGTGGGCGTGTGCGCTTTGATTTCCTAATTTAGTAACTTTTATATATATAATTGGATGAGCATTTAGAAGTTAAATCAATATCAAGGCAATGTTATTTTCTATTTACCCTTAAAAAAATTCATTACAATACTCTATGAGAACAAAGGAAAATTTTTTGAACTCGCTAAGAACATCTCAAGACTTAAAACAAAGAACAAATTTTGTATGCAAAGTGTACTAGGTTTGTGATCAGGGTTGATAGAAGAAGAAAGGAGAGAGAGAAATAAGAGAGACAATTTATGTAGAGTGAGATAGAGACTTACTGAGATAATGCCATGAGAAACTGCTAGTGAATTGTATATATGTTCCTTCTTATAGCAAGGGTGTCATATGCATATTTCTAAATATCGGAACCCATGTGTCATGTCCGACACCGAGTGTTTTTTACATTTTGAAGTGTCTAGGTAACATAGTGTTGGCACCAAAACTTGGCAGCCATCTCAGCGATGACGTGGACCAATAAGGAGCGAACAGGTATTTCTAATATGGAGTCAAGGAGATCGGCCAGTTTGAAAATATTAGGAACAAATATAGGAAGATATATTTCAGCACCTAATGGATATGGTAGTTGCTGAAATATAGCAACTCACATTTGACTTTTTTCAAAATGGGCTGTTAACAGAAAAGGAAAAGGCTAGAGTTGGATGAAACTCAATAACTAAATTCCTATAAAATAGGAAGTTTAGTTGGATGAAAGAAGGAAAGCTCTGAAGACATGTATAGAAGGTTGGTAGCATGAAGGAACAAATCTAATTGTGACAAGTGGCCTTGACATGGCGCTAAAGGATGGGCCACTTGGGATAGAACACGGCTGCCAAGTTTATAAAAAGAAGTTGTTGAAATATAGCAATTGAAGTTGACTAAAGCGTACAAGGAAGCAGAGTACTCATGGGTTTTTGACCCAGTTTGATTTTGAAGAGAGAGAGAATCAAGGAAGGAGAGATTTTCTAGCAAAAAGTTAAGAAGATAAGTTGATTAAAACTTCTATAAATAGAAGTATTGTAATTCATTCCAATTTGTCCATCTCCACCCACAAAACATGAATTTCTTATTCAATTGACTCTACGTCATTTATCAATTTTTTTTATTTCTTTTGTCCAAATTGCAAATTTCATTCAAAGAAACTAAGTTCCAGTAACTTACTTCTATTTTTGCAATGTTTTAATTATGCTATTTACATTATCAGTCACTTCTTTCGTGCAAACGGATTCAATGGCCAATCTTTGATCAGATTCGCGTCATGTTAATTTGGCCAGTTTATTTCATTCCTTTACTTTCCATGCAATTTCCATTTTGTCAGTTTTAATTATGCTATTTCAATTCAAAATGTTTTCAATTAAATGGGAATTGATTAAATTTTTGTCATTCATTTACTGGCGATTGATTAAATTTTTGTCACTGCATTTTGTTTTACTTCATTTCTTTCCATGCAACTTCTATTCTACCAGTTTTAATTATGCACATTTTAATTCAAAATGTTTGTTTTCTTAAGTTCAATCTAATGACAATTGATTAAATTCTTGTCATTTATTTTCACTGGCAATTGATTAAATTCTTGTCATCCATTTCAAATTCAACCGTTTACTTTTCAGTCAATTTCCATTTAGCCGTCTTTTTTTAAAGTCAATTTAAATTCAGTATGTTCATTTAGATTTCTTTAGTCATTGCATTTTTATTTCTTTTAACACTTTGATAAAAAGTCCTTGCAAACAAGGTAGAAAAAGAACCTTGCTGGAAGTTCTTATTATTCTCTCTCCCACACATTCGCCTGAAGTCAGCCATCGGAAAAAGGGATAGGCTGGTGTTCAATTCATAATTTTGAGTGTTTTATACAAATACTCTGGCATGCCCGCAAAAGTCCATTGAATAGCGTAAGACCAAAAACCGCGCGAACACATAGCTTTAGTGAACTCCATTAATTTTCAATTAAAATTTTTATTGTGAGGTGGAGAAGATTTTTGGTTGATGTCTGTAATTGGAAACTGCTAGATTCTTAAGAGTATAAATAGCAATGTCTGGGAGTTTTTAACCTTTATGCAAGTGCTGTATATATTTACTTTGGCTTTGTTTTAATTTTCTGCTCCAGCATTTTTGATGTAAGAATCACTCGACAAGGATTCGAGAAACGTGTAGTGTCGCAAGATTTGCAGCTTTGGCTTTCAAACGTAAGGCGTTCGTTCATATTCAACAGTACACATTCTAGTGCTTTAATGGTTTTATGATTACCCATTTCAAAAAAAACAATTATCTTCTTGCATTACCACAGGCACCACCCATTGGCAAACAGTTCATTCTCCTAGCACGAGCTGGAAGACAGGTACGCTCTCTCTCTCTCTCTCTCTCAAATGTTCTTTCTCTCCCTCTCTCTTACTTAATCCTGGTTTGAACTTCAGGTTCAGGAAATACAGTTGACATCATCACTTGACCAGGAAGGAATAAAGGCGGCATTGCAGATAGTACTGGCACGCGTCCCATGAATTGAACTCGAGATTTATCCTGTTGAGCATACCATCACCCTCATCTTACATTCAAAGCAGATGAATGAAAGAAATATCCATGTTTTTGCTAGGTTTACACTTTTCAACTGTGCAGCTGCTGTGCAGAAGCCGATGTGAACATAGCCTGGAAGGTGCTATCTGTATATTTTGTGAGTAGCTCACTTTGTTCATCTTCTCAATCGAATAATCTGATTACGGATGGAAAATGTATTGAATTTCGTTGTTAAATACTGTTGGCAGTCATTTTTCAGATCTGATTGTAGTTGTACTCGACCACGAGAATTTCTTGGATGATAATAAAATGGAACATTTAGTTCCTCATTTTATTTTTTAAATTATGGTATACTGTTATTAGCCTGCCGAACATAATTTGGCTGCTTGTGAAGTATGAACCCAATTAGTTCCACATTTTGAACCTGCACAAGCTTTGGAGCTGTGTGTCAAAGCAAGAAGAATAACTCTTCGAGTGCTCAACCTGGTCAAGTCCGTGTCATTTTCTCAATGAGCAATTCTACAATTGCTAAGATATTGCGATAACAGCCCCGCGGGGGGTGGGGGGGGTCCTCCTTGTCTCTTAACTCTTAAGTCGTGTTGCAATATAGTTATCAGTTCCTTTGGTACTTGGCCAACTGGCCAACTGGGCGTGTACTTATGCAATGGAAGGAAAGGTGTAGTCCGCCACAGTCCGCCCAGAGGCAGAGCCAATTAAGGGCCGGGGGCACTCGCTATCTGCCTATCCCCGACATCTATAAATGTAAGGTATTTTTATTTTTCTAGGCAAAAATGCAAAAAATATAAGGCGGGGTTTCACAGTTTCACCAACTGAGCACAACACTTCGGTTTAAAAGTGAACAAATCAGTCCTTATTGTTTCAAAAGTGAGCAAATTGCCCTCTTGCATTTCACCTCAGGCCACCTTCCATCCATATTGTGATGTAGATAATTGATATTTTTTATTAATACCAAAAGTATCCTCCAATATGACCGATATACCTTCCTATAAAAATGTTTTGCATTTGTTTGTTCCAACAAATCCATTTTTGTTCTCCTTTCCATTTGCATTTATTGTGGTCCATAAATAATATAATATAATGTGTGTGTGTGTCTATATATATATATATATGTTATATGTTTATGTGCATTTCTTTCACTTGTCTCTTCTGCTACCTGCTAATTAGTTTGGTTATAGTTAAGGCACTCTTGTTAAGTGCATCCGTAAGCATCAAGTATTTATCAATGCAATAGTTGAAAAGATTTGATCTCATGATGAAAATGCACTCGTGATAACCTTGCATAAACATTATTAACACATACGTTTGCATGTACATTATTACATGGTCCACATACAAGAACCTACAGATGGTTCACTATTTTCGCTATCCATTGAATTCAGCCATGAATAGAGTTGAGGAAGCGTTACAGTAATAATAATAAAAATAGAAATGAGAAAAACGTGGAACACGTGTTGTGAAAAAAAAAAAGCAAAAAAGCCCAGGTTCACGTAATCCATGCAAATGCCCAAATGAGAAGTTACACACTTGGTCAATTTAGAGTCATATAATGTTTTAGTTTTTTTTAGAGGATATTTAAGATATTTTGCCTTTTATATTATATATATATATATTAAAAAAATTAATTATAGAGGATAGTTTGGTGAATGCACAATGACATTCGATGGAATGTGGTTAGAAGTGAAATGTAGGAGGACAATTTGTTCACTTTTGAAACTATAGGGACTGATTTGCTTACTTTTAAACTACAGGAAGAATTGTGTTTACTTGGTGAAACTTCAGGGGAGTTTTTTGCATTTTTTTATTTTTTTTATATGTATAAGAAAAAATTTATATAACGCCCCCCAGAGTGTCATTGTACTTTATATGAGTGTCCGTACGGCAAAACCCAGTGGGTGTCATTGTACTTTACCCTTAAAATTATATCTTAACTTTTTTCTTTCTTTTCTATTTTACTCTTTAGATTCCTTTAATTTCCATTTTTTTAAAAAAAGTTATATTTCTCTTTTTCAATTACTTTTTTTTTTCCCTTTCAAAGTTTTCTCATTTTTTTTCCCCCTTGAATCTTAAAAATCTTCTTTTTGCACTTGTAGTATGTTACTTTTTTTCACTCTTCTTATTCCTTTTATTTCTCTTTTTTAATTTAAATTTAATAATGTAATTTTATGAAGACAATGGGTGTAATTTCATGCATCGTTATCAAAATAGAAGACCTACAAATATATACAATGAAAAATGTTGCCAAACAATATTTTTAGTTTTTATATTGGTCAACTATTTATCTTTATTATACTGCTGCTAATTGATTATCATATTAACCCCCCCCCCCCCCCCCCCCCCCTCTGAATTGAAATCTTAGCTACATCCTCAAGTTGGCACAATCTATTATTGACATGAGTCACATGAGTAGATAATTGTGCATGATGGAGTGGTTGATCCACCACCCCAGATAGTTCGGCCATGTTTGGTTCAGTTTTCAGAGAATAGTTTTCGATTTTTTGAAAATTGAAAACCAAAATATCGTACACAAATTTGTTTGGTTAATATTTTTTGAAAACTTAGTTTAAAAAACAAAAAAACAGTATGTCAATAATTTTTGTTGTTTTTTGAGTGACTATGGATGGCAACATGGCGGAGTTGGGGTAGGTTTTACTAAACCCTACTCTGCCCCATTAGAAAATTCGTCATACCAAATCTGCCTTTTGAGCAGAGGAATAGTCTTAGTGGATTTGGGAAAGTCTCAAGAGGGATTTTGAGCCGAGGAATAGGAGTTTCCGAACATCGTTAAATCGTTGTGTTATAATTTGCAATTTCTATTCCCTTATCTCTTTTATAACTATGTTTTTTATTGTTTACTTTCATATTTTTCATATTGCATAATTAGATAAGTTGTTTATATAGAATTGTTAATCTATAAATCGAAAATTAACCATTATTTTCCATTGACTCTATTCAAACCCCCCATCCTCCTCCCCCTCTAAAGTAAATACTTGTTAGTATATAGTTTGTAAAAAGTGTATGTAATATGTAAATCTATATATTTATGTTGTACAGATATATACTCATTTGAAACATGAAAAGCCATATTTGAAACAAACCAAATTGATCCATAGAAGAAGGAAAACTAGAAGAGGATGAAAAATGTTGAAACTACAGAGGAAGAGAGTAATAATACAATGGTGCGGGTTAGTTTCGTCCATTAAAAAGAGTTAGAAATGGTATTCAGGTCATTTCATGCTTAAAAATTGATTGTTGACAAGTCAAAGGGCATTCGGGTCTTTTATGGTGTTTAAGTGGGTCAGAGAGGTGCGTTTGCAAGATTTTTAAACTCATGGGGTGTTACTGTCCAAAAATCGTTGACTTGTGTTTATGTGACATTGACCAAAACCTCAGGGGTGTCAATGCAATTTACCCAAGATTAAGTTTGAGGCGTAATGATTAGATGCCTAGTTTTAGAAAATTTAAAATTTTACATCTACAAAATGAATTATAAATTTAAAAAATAATAATAATTGAAGGAACAATTATATAGTGTAATCAAGTTGTATCTCCATGTATTTTCAAGTAAATTGTGCTTATGATTCTCACCATCATAGTAAAAGGTTTAAAGAATGAGAAAATTATGGCATAGATTTTTCATTGAGTAAAATCATATACACATAGCGTATAACTGAAATCCTATTATAAGGAAGTCAAATTTATAATAAGGAAACTAAATAACAATCAGGATACTACATATTCTAAGTAAGTAAAATTTACAATAAGGAAACTAAATAACAATCAGGATACTACCTATACTAAGTACGTCAAATTTTACAATAAGGAAACTAAAAAACAATCAAACAAAAAAATCCTAAGAATCCGAGATTATTGATTTTCTCTATCATGCCCCCGCAAGATGGAGCTCCGAGAGGAGAGTCCAATCTTGGTCTTCAAAAAATATAAATCGAGTACGCGGAAGCGGTTTAGTGAGAACATCAACCAACTGATCAGTAGAGGAGACATGAGCCACCCGAAGAACTCCACTTTGAACTTGTTCACATATTAAGTGATAATCTAAAGCAACATGCTTCATGCGAAAATGAAAAACCGGATTTGAGCACAAATTCGTAGCACCGACATTATCACAGTAGATTACTGGTTGCAAAGAGAGAGAACACCAAGTTCAGTAAAAAGAGAGCAGAGCCAACGGAGCTCAGTGGTAGTAGTTGCAACGGAGCGATATTCAGCTTTAGTAGAAGAGTGAGCCACAATACGTTGCTTCTTGGAACTCCAAGATTGCGACCAAGGTACACAAGATAGGCACTGGTTGAAGTGAAATCATCTTTGTTACTTGCCCAATCAACATCAGAAAACGCATGGAGAGACAAGGAGGAATGTCGATAGAGGACACCACCATGATCCAAATTCCCACAAAGATAGCACAACAATCGATTAAAATCGTTCCAGTGGTCACTAGTAGGTTGATGCATAAACTGAGACAGTTTATTCACCGTATAAGTAATGTCAAGGCGCGTAAGCGAGAAGTACTGGAGACTTCCAACAATAGTCCGATACTCAGAGGGGTTGGAGAGTGCTATGCTAGAGTGAAGTGTAAGGATATGGGCATTAGCAAGAGGTGTAGCCACAAGCTTTGCATCTGTTATGTGTGTGCGAGCTAATAGATCCATTATGTATCAGCGTTGAGATAGAAGGAAGCCTTGAGAATGGGGAACGACTTCAACTCTAAGAAAATAAGTTAAGTGACCAAGATCCTTGAGAGAGAATCGGTGAGCAAGGAGTTGGATGAACATTTGCACAGCCCCATCATTGTCACCTGTAATTATAATGTCATCAACATAAACTAGAAGGTAGATCATAGGACCGCTGTTGTTATAGACAAACAGTGAGGTGTCTGCATGAGAGTTGGTGAAGCCAAAGGTGATAAGAAACTGGCACAACTCATGATATTAAGCACAAGGAGCTTGTTTAAGGCCATAAATAGCCTTGCGAAGTTTGTAGACATGATGAGGATGATCGTGATCAATGAAACCCTGTGGTTGCGTCATAAATACATCCTCAGTAAGAGTATCCTAGAGAAAAGCATTATTGACATCAAGTTGCCGAAGAGACCAGCCATGACTGACTACAATATTGAGAACAAGATGAATAGTGGTAGGCTTGACAACAGGACTGAAAGTGTCATGATAATCAACTCTAGGGTGTTGATGGAACCCCTTGGCAACTAATTGAGCCTAATACCTCTCAACAGATCCATTAGGTAAATGTTTAGTACGAAAAATCCACTTGTAACCAACTAGATTCTGTGTTGGGTCAGAGGGAACA